AATGGGATAAAGAAGAAATGAAGAGCAATCAAATCCTACAACAATATTTGAATGAACTAAATATTAAGACTGTTGGAAGTAAAAGGAAGGGATATAAAGTTGGTTTATTTGATCAAGGTTAAAACAAGATATGTTGTTACTCCTGGCAATCCTTTATGGACTTTCTGCTGATATCAGGACTGAAAAGATGACATTTTATGAATTTGCCTAATATGTTGTTACTCCTGGCAATCCTTTATGGACTTTCTGCTGATATCAGGACTGAAAAGATGACATTTTATGAATTTGCCTAATATGTTGTTACTCCTGGCAATCCTTTATGGACTTTCTGCTGATATCAGGACTGAAAAGATGACATTTTATGAATTTGCCTAATATGTTGTTACTCCTGGCAATCCTTTATGGACTTTCTGCTGATATCAGGACTGAAAAGATGACATTTTATGAATTTGCCTACAAATAAGGGATGAATAGATAAATGTTTGTAACCTTAGAGGGGGTGAAGAGTCACTAAATTTGTTTATACTTGTGATGAAGGTTGGAAGTCACTTCTTTACATATTTCTTTTCTCTTTCTTCTTTCTTTTCTCTTCTTTCTTTTCTTTTTTTCCTTGCATTTTTTACTCTTTCTCTTTTCTCTCTTTAAGTTTAATTTGTATTAGATTTTACTATTATAATAATTTTTTAAAATAAAAATTATATATTAAAAAACACACACCTTTTTTCCTGATCCCTCTATCTTACAGCCAGAAGCAACATTTCTGCTTGTGTGTTGCACCCAACCGTTACCTGGCTATTGGATGGATGGCATCCTGCTTGCTGCCTGCCAGATCCCGTCTTCCACAGTGCTTAGGGAGAGTAAAAAAGATAATTTTCAAGATGCTCTGGGTGAGATCATCCCAGAAAATAAGCAGGACAGTTTTGCTCACCACTGGAGACAGTTTGCATTTCCAACAGTTTGGTGTGCCGCAGAATTCATAAATGAAGCATACCAAGCATCAAGTATGAAACCCCAACTGACAATTTCCAGAGATGATAATAAATAAAATAAAATAATAATAAAAATAAGCTTTGCTTATTTTTCTGAAAAATGCTAGGAATGTTCATCACCATGAATACAGTGACACTGAAAGAGTGGAGAATGCAAATATATCAAGCATTCCATTTTCCAGCCATTTATGGAAAACTTCAAGAGGCAGGAATGATCTATTATTGGCATTCCTCTTCGTGGCTCCCCCCCCTCCCCCTGAACAGCAGTAGCAATCTGTGAGGTGCTCAACATAGAAGTGCCTAAGAAAAGAGATTTCTTCTGTGAAAATGAATGGTCCTTTTGCCTCGGAAAGAAAACAGGAAATGAGAATGAAGAAAGAAAATTAAGGCTTAGTGCATGGAGACAAGAGAGTCCTTTTCTACTTTACTAAGTAAGCTTAAGCAGTCATTTGGTTCATAAACAGATGAAGTGGCATGGCTAAAAGCAGAGGGTGAATGGTTAGAAATCTTAGTCCTTTCTCCCAGAGGCCCTCTGGGTCCATACTCTCTAGCGCCATGTCCTGCTTTGGTGTGCAGCTAAACAGTTGTCACTGCCACCACCTATGTTCCATACAATGACTCATCTGGTTCCCTCTCCACCAACTCCAGTGTATGGGATTTGCTCAAATCAAGAGCACAACTTAAGAAGTTCCATAGAAAAACCAAAAGAAAAATATAAGGCTCTGGGGAAACTACAAGATTATGCTAGCCTTTTCCTAATTTAGAGGCAACTGTTGCATAAAAATAGGCCAGTACTGAGCTTGTATAGACAAAATAAATACAATACTAGAGACAAAATATGAGCCACAAGGACAACATAAAAATTAGTATTTCCAGTTAAATGTATTTTGCCTTTCCTTTCAAAGGTTGTCATTTACCTGAAACAGTTTTCACTCTGCCTCAAATAATCTTGGATTTTTGCAGATCCCAGTCAGTTTTCAGTCAGTTAATTCTGACACTATTGGGGAGACGGAACAAACTCCATTTTTCTTCTCAGCCAACTTCTGCCCTTGTTTTAAAAAGACAAAATATGTTTTTTCTCTCCCCACCAGAAAAAGATGGGTTTAGGATAATCCCGTTACACACAAGATTGCCAGCTATTCTTCACACATGCTCAGTAAGCTTGAAAGTATATTGAAATTCAGATGCTGCTGCTGCTGTCAATGAATGGGCTGGTGGTGTTTATCTATCCACTGCAGTGGGTTTTCTTAAATAATGCTCAAAATAACTGCATGGATAATTCATGCATATACTGAAAGATGCTGGTCTACCTGAGTGAACCAAAGTAATGTGAGGGAGTGGATCCACTCCAGTTTTGAGCATCCAATGACAGGGTCTGGCCAGATTTCTCAGTAGTGGCCCAGAATAGAGACACTTCTCTTTCCTGGGTGTCCCATAGCCTGGTTGTTAAGGCTAATTGCCCAGCAGTAAATTTCTCAGTTGAGACCAGTTTTAAACCACCTGAGTCATACATAAAAGGCAAACAGCAGTAAGAGATGGGGAACACTCAGGTTTGTTTTCACATATCTTAGGCAATCATATACTGCAGCAGAAGTCACAAGCTGAGCCAAACCCTAAACTGAGGGGAAGTCCAGATGCATAGTCAAACTGGATAAGGATTTATGGGAACAGAGTAACTAATAGCATAATATGCAAAATAAAAGACTTATAATATCTCCAGTAACCTACCGCATGTAACAAAGAGTGATTACTCCACACTGAGGCCATTCAGGAGACTGTCATCAGACAATCTGCAGCAGCATCTGCTCTCCTGCTAGAACTTGTAGTCTTCTGAACCAGCCTGGCACTTTCGCACTGTGCAGCCTTCTGCCTTTGTACTCTCAATCTGCTTCTCTTGAGGGCTGATTGGTTTAACTTCCATAACAAAATCTGGGTCACTTGGTTCAGGTTGAGGTAGAAGGCTCTGGCAAGGCAGAAACTGGTTCCATGGTGTCAGTGCTAATGCAACTGGAAACTTCTGGGGAGTCTGCCTCCTGTTCAGATGTCTGAAGTTGGGTCCTCAGCCAGGGGTATGATATTCACTTGCCCACCAACCAGCATTCCAACTGAGAGGGTGTTCTTCAAGGCAGGTGGTATGGTAATACCCACCACTCATGTCTGGCACTGACTTGGTAAAACAATTCATTT